CCCCAAAAAAAAAAACAACCCAACAAAAAAGAAACACACGAATATAAATACAAGGTAGAAAGTTCTCTGGGGGGTGCAGGATCCCCCCCAGCACCCCCAGCCTAGTCCAGGTCGTTGGTTGTGTCTTCGTCTGTGAGACTCTGTCCGTTGACAGCCGGGAAGTCGTAGTGGCCTTGGGATAAATCCTCGAAGTCCTGGCTGGTGGTTGGGGAGATGATGTCAGGGCTGGTGTCACAGGACTCGGTGCTCTGCTCGGAGGTGGCGATGGTGGTCGTGCTGCTCCTGGGGACGGGGTCGAAGTCGTCGTCGTCTTCCAGGATGGGAGACTCGTGGATGCCTGGAAAGGAAGATGGGAGTTGTTAAGTTTTGCTTCTTCGGATTCCCAAGGGCTGCTTCACGCATTCTTAGGGATGGAAAAACTGATGGGAAGTGGATCACTCACTGCTGAAGGCCTCTGGGTACTGCTTGGCCAGCTTCCCCTTCAGCGTCCTGGGGAGGAGAGTCAGGTGAGTCACAGAATCATGGGATGGTTTGGGTTGGAAGGGACATTGACGATCATCGAGATCCAACCCCCCTGCATGGGCAGGGACACCTCCCACCAGCCCAGGCTGCTCCAAGCCCCATCCAACCTGCCCTTCAACACTGCCAGGGATGGGGCAGCCACAGCTTCCCTGGGCAACCTGGGCCAGGCTCTCACCACCCTCACACTCCAGAATTTCCTCCTCATGTCTCACCTCAATCTCCCTCTTCCAGTTTTAATCCATCCCCCCTTGTCCTCTCACTCCTGCCCTTGTCCCAAGTCCCTCCCCAGCTTTCCTGGAGCCCCTTCAGGCACTGGAAGCTGCTCTAAGGTCTCCCTGGAGCCTTCTCTTCTCCAGGCTGAACACCCCAACTCTCCCAGCCTGGCTCCAGAGCTGCTCCAGCCTTGGATCATCTCTGTGGCCTCCTCTGGACTCACCCCAACAGGTCTAGATCATTCCTGTGCTGAAGGCTCCAGGGTCCTTGGAATCTGGTTCATCCAGAGCTGAGCTGCCCAACAGCTCCCTCCAGTCTCAGGACAAGGGATCCTGGAGTGTTCCTGGGGCTCCTTCCCCAACCCCCTCCCAGACCACCGGGTGTTCCTGAGTCCCACATTCCACACCCAAGGGAGCACAGACCATCCCAACGGGAGCACAACAGGAGGATCCCAAAGCACCAGCATCTCCTTCCACCTCCCCACACATTTTCCTTTCTCCAGCTATTTTCACTTGGGAGCACCATCCCTGGCTCCAACTCACATCCTGCTTTAACCCCCCCAGACCTCCCCCACCCCCTCCACGCCCTCCGTGCCCTCCCGGTTCCCAGTTTCCCACCGGATCCTCCGGAAGATGCTGTCCAGATCCTTCTTCATCTCCACCAGCATCTTGGTGTGGTGGAGGAACCGCTCGTTCATCTGCTGCATGCGGAGGCTGGAGAGGTTGTTGAAGTTGAGGAGCATCTCGTTGGTCTTTTCAAATCGATCCAACCTGGGCAGGGGAGGCAGAGGGAGCTCGGCAGGGACCCCCGGGATGCTCCCGGTGTCCCCGCGGGCCGGTTCCCCCCGGGACTCACATGTTTTTCTGGGCCAGGATGATGGCGTTGACGTCCTCGGCGTTGACCATGCCCAGCACCCGCCCGCAGAAAACCTGCGAGGCCGTGGGCTCCATGGCGGCCTGTGGAACCGGGCGGGGCGGCTCAGCCCCCGGGGCCGGGAACGGAGACTCCTCCCCCGCCCTCCGGTAACAAGCCCTCCTTCACCCGGCC